TTGAAAAGTAGCCAAAAAGGCAGAAATAAGCAAAAACAATTGAAAAGTAGCTAAAAAAAGAAGAAGCAGAAATGAGCAAAAACAATTGAAAAGTAGCCAAAAAGGCAGAAATAAGCTTAAATTACCAGAAGGAAGTGGAGAGAGTACAATTTTGCTGAATTGGGCTTAAAAAAAGTTTAAATGAGTGGGGGAATTAGCTGTAAAAGTTAAAATTAGCATAAAAACAGCTAAATAGTAGCTGAAATAACAGGAACGAGCAGAAATAAGCTGAAAGGAGCACAACAAGCTGAAATTGGCAGAAAGAAAGAAGAAGCACAAAAATGTTGTAGTTGGCAGAAATAATCTGAAAGGAGCACAAAACAGCTGAAAGTAGCTGAAAATACCTGAAAACACGTTTAAATTTGCACAAAGGAGCTGAAAGAACCAGAACAAAATGTGAAATGAGCAGTAAAAGGTTGCAATCAGATCTACAGATTTTGAAGGATGTAAAATGAGCTCAATTCATTTTCTCTGAGGAAAAAACATGGCAGAAAAGGCTAAATGTTTCAAAAAGCTAAAGTTGCACCAATACCAAAAGTCATAGCAGGACTGTCCTGAAAGAGCTGAATGTTTTGATTTATGATTTGATGAAATATCTTAAACTGTGGGAAGAGATTTGCGCCAAAAAACACAGAAGAAAAATGGATCACAACCGTGTGAATGCTTCATGAACATTCACACTGTTGTACTTTAAACTGTCTGACCTCTCTCTGTTCAGGTCTCTTATTTTGAAATCTACTTGGATAAGATCAGAGACCTGCTGGACGGTGAGTTTATTTCTGCTTTTTTTACCCAAATTTACCGATTTTTATTTAAAAACCAACACCAAGTGAACTCTCTGACCTTCGTTCTCTCTAAAGTGTCTAAGACCAACCTGGCTGTGCACGAGGACAAGAACAGAGTGCCCTACGTGAAGGTTGGTACGCTGCACGGCGGCTCTGAAGGACAAAACATGCAGGATCCAACAGAGGGAGCTTTACTCCGTAGGGCTGTTAGACCAGCTTTAGGAGCCTAAATGTTCTGTTTCAGGGTTGCACTGAGCGCTTCGTGTCCAGTCCTGAGGAGATGATGGACGTCATCGATGAGGGGAAGACCAACAGGCACGTGGCGGTCACCAGTACGTACCAAACAAATCTTCATGTTGGGCAAGTTTTACAATCTGTCGGGGTCGTAGTTCATAACAGTAATGTTCATTTTATGTACTAGAGTAGGGAAATCATAAAAAACTTAAATTAAAATTAAACAAGCAACTCTGCACTTGACATCATGAGTCTCGGCCAGAACATGATGGCTTTCAAAGAGAGTCGTAGTTCCCATTTTTAATTATGTTTAAGACCATTAAAGTAAAAAGACACTAAAATGGCCACTGATGTTGCCAGATGAGGTTTATAGCAGCCATCTTGAGCATCTGAGCAGTGTGTTTTTATTTCTTTGTCTGAAGCTGCTAGAAGAAAATTGAAAAATATTTCCCTTTGAGCACCATTGGTTAAAGTAAATACATTTTATATTTACCGGCAATACAATTTTTCTTCTTTCCTAGACATGAATGAGCACAGCTCCCGCAGCCACAGCATCTTCCTTATCAACATCAAGCAGGAAAACGTTGAAACGGAGAAGAAGCTGTCGGGGAAGCTCTACCTGGTCGACTTGGCCGGCAGCGAGAAAGTCTGTCTGAAAGCGGTCAGAAAGATTTAGTCACAGGAAGCCTCAGTGGTTTAAAAAAAAAAAAAAAATCGGTTTCCCAACAGGTCAGCAAGACCGGAGCTGAGGGAGCCGTGTTGGACGAGGCCAAGAACATCAACAAATCTCTGTCGGCGCTGGGGAACGTCATCTCAGCTCTGGCCGAGGGAACGGTACGTCCTCTGAACGAAACTCGCAGTCAGACTTAGAAAAACTCCACTTTTGTCCACGTTGCTTGATCGGTTGGTGTTTTTTTTTTTTCTCAGAAAGCCCACGTGCCGTACAGAGACAGCAAGATGACCCGGATCCTGCAGGACTCTCTGGGAGGAAACTGTCGCACCACCATCATCATCTGCTGCTCACCGTCTGTCTACAACGAGGCCGAGACCAAGTCCACGCTGATGTTTGGACAAAGGTGAGTCCCTCTCTTAAACCAGAACTGTTTCCAACTTCTTGCGTTTTTTGTACAACTGGAACAAATACAAGTCAATCAGTGTTTCTGCTTTGTGAATCTTTTTTGACTCAACCTAGGGAAACTGAAAGAACAGCAGATTTAAGAAAACTGGTAATAACTTGTTTTTCTTGTTAATCATTAAAACTATTATTATTATTACTTGGATTCTATTTATCTTCAGTAATCCAGTTAACTCGTAGCAACGTAGCCACAATCCCATACTCTCAGAGCACCCCCCACAGCGTACCCCAAGGAACAAGGTCGAATGCTTTCTCCAAGTCCACAAAATGCATGTAGACCGGATGGATAAACTCCCATGACCCCTCGAGGACACTATTAAGGTTAAAGAGCTGGTCCAGTGTTCCACCAGGAACGGAACCCTTATTGTTCCAGCCGCTCAGCCCTGCGACATCCAGAGCCTCGAGGAACTCGGAGCGGATCTCATCCATCCCTGGAGCGCTGCTGCCGTGGAGCTTTCCACTTAGTCTCTTGGACACATTAAACACCTACCTTCCTTCTCTGCATCATGTCAGCCAGCTCTCTACCTTTGCCTGTCATTGTCCCCACATTTAGAGTTGCCACCCTCAGTCCTACATTCTTGTCTTTCCTCTTCTCTCTCTGTCTCCTGACACGTTTCCCTCCTCGTGGTCTTCAACTAACAGTAGCACAATTTCCACCGGCAGCCTGTTTGCCAACAGCACCGGTGGCGGTCGTTGTTAACCCGGGCTTCGACGCATCTGCTATGATGTCGCTTAGATGAACTCGCATTATGATTTTGGCTAAAGTATTTTACGTCGGATGCCCTTCTTGGCACAACCCTCACCATTTACCCGCGCTTGGGACCGGCACAAGAGATACACTGACCTGTGCTCCTTTGCATTCAGGAAACTACATGACAGATCCTTTTGTGTCTCCATCAAGGATTTTAGTTCTGCAGCGGCAGAGCTTAAATGGGGGGTTCCGCAGGGGTCCATCCTGGGTCCCCTCCTATTCTCTTTATACCTGCTGCCACTTGGTGCCATTTTCCAGAAACACAACATACCCTTTCATTTCTACGCTGATGACTGTCAAATTTACTTCCCCCTAAGACACGATGGAACATGCTCTATTCAACCTCTGCTCGACTGCCTGGCTGACATCAGGGACTGGATGGCTTTAAATTTCTGAAGTTTCAATGAAAAGAAGTCTGAAGTCATGTTGTTCCCTCCCAACGACACGATCACAAATCACTGCATCGACCTTTCCACTCTAACCCTGTCAGAAAAACAAAGAGTCACTAATCTGGGAGTGATAATGGACCCTTCCCTGAAACTTAACAATCATGTAAACATGATTGTTAAATCATGCTTCTTCCAACTGAGGCGGCTGTCTAAACTGAAGCCCATATTGTCCAAAAATAACCTGGAGACAGTAATACATGCATTCATTACATCTAGGCTTGATTACTGCAATTCACTCCTGTTTAGTATCAGTCATACCTTCACTGCACGACTACAACTGGTCCAGAATGCAGCAGCCTGATTTTTAACCAGTACAGGCAAAAGAGAACACATTACACCAGTTTTGGCCTCACTGCACTGGTTACCGGTTCACCTTCGAATCCAGTTCAAAATACTTCTGTATGTCTACAAATCGTTGAACAGTGTCGCTCCCCCCTATCTCTCTGATCTGCTACAGCCGTATGTCCCTCCACGTTCCCTGAGGTCAGCGGACCAGTTGCTCCTCACAGTTCCAGGAACTCGTCTTAAGGGCAGAGGTGACAGGGCCTTCTCTGTAGCAGGACCAAGACTTTGGAACGAGTTACCTCTGCTTGTCAGACAGGCTCCCTCCCTCTCGGTTTTCAAGTCCCGTTTAAAAACTCACTACTATTCAGTAGCTTTCAACACCAGATGATCTGTGTTTTGAACCTGTATGCTCCACACTGGTTAGTCGTCATTATCTGCATCATTTTTATGTCTATATTCTGATTTACCTCATTTTGTATATTGCTTTGTGTGTTACCTGTTGTTCTGTCTGTACAGCACTTTGGTTGGACTTGGTCGCTGTTTTAAGTGTTCTATAAATAAAATGGTATGGTATGGTATTAATAAACTACAGGATAATCTGGCTTCTTACAGCAGAATATGAGGGCATAAATAAAGGGTTTGAGATTTATTTGTTCAGTTTGTTTGAATGATATAAATAAAATGTAAACAGAGCAGGTTAATCAAAGCTCTGCTGGGAGTCAAGTGATGATTCTGGGTGTAGACTGAATGATGTCCTGAAAACTAACGACCAGATGGCTCTGAGTTTCCTGCTGCGTAACAGAATTCATTTCTATTTATAGCTCCCTGCTGAGCTGACGGTTTGTGTTTTTTACTGGTAAACCCCACGTTTGCGCCAACAACAGTTTGCTTTGTTCAGCTCCTTTTCTAATTTAGACGCTTAAAAAGAAATGTTTTCATATTTAACACGACAGGTGAGCGCTTACTGTGCAAGATGTTTGGCTCTAGAGTCTAGAGCAATCCTTAAAAATTGAAAAATATAAATATAAATCCAGAGAACGCTGGGCGCTTAACGATGCTGAAATCTGTTGGAGGGGCTGAAACAGAAGATGAGCTAAACTGAACAAGAACAGTAGCTAAAAGCTAAAACCGGTAGCTGAAACTAAACGTAGTAAAATAGTAGCTAAAATTAGCATAAGAAAACTGAAATTCAGCAAGAATGATAAAGATTTCAAAAGAATCGGCCGAATTAAAGTGAAAACAATCAGAGGAAAGTCCAAAAATGGCAAAACCATGGCTAAAAACTCAATTTGCAAATTACTGCTAATAAGCTCAAATTGACAAGACGGTAGCTAAAAGCTCTCATTAGCAAAACTGTAGCAAAAAAAAAGTGGAATTAGTAAAATATTTCCTAAAAGCTCGAAGCAGGAGGCAGAAACTGAGAAGGAAAAAAAAAAATGCTGACTCAGCATTTACTAAACAATGGATTTGAAGGAAGTGAAGAGTTTTTCACGCGTTTCTATATTTTAACTAAAGATGAGAGAGAAAAACATATTTTCTGAATCATTTATTCTAGCGGATTATTGGATAATGTTTGCAGCAGGACCTTCCAAATTTTATACCCGAGTATGAAACTGTATAAAAATGTTACTTTGCATGTTAAAATGTTGCAGATTTGTAAACATTCCAATTACCGTAATTCTCGGACTACAGCATGCACCTGTTTCTAAGCCGCCGCACATACTAAAGATAAGATCGATCATAATTTTGTACATAAGTAAGACGCTCCGGTTAATTAGCCACGGGCATCAACTGTTCATCGTCAGGAACTGTGCCCCGCCTGCTCCGACAGTGTGCAGCTTTCTTGTTGTAGTACAAATATCAGCCAGCAGGTGTTATTTCACAGATTATAGTTTGCTTTCAACGCACGCTCAGACTGCATGATCGCCAGAAGTCTTTGCTGTCTGAATCATGGTTACAACCATTCAACTTACAAAATGAACGCAATAACAATTTAAGCATAATCACTGAACAGAACGGTGCCAAACATCTACGTAACTGAAATTATTTAAAAATTATATACAGGTAAATGTTACCCAGAAGTCTTATCGAGGTCATGTGACTGGAAGTCAAATACAGTAGTCTCTCGCTAGTTTGCAGATCATTTTTCGCGGACTCACGCTATCGCGGTTTTTCAAAATAAGATTGGACACGACACACAATTGGCCGATTGATGGATGAGCTGCACGATCGGCAAGGAATTTTTATTTAAAATAAATTATTTTAAATTATTTGGCACCTGAGTGCAGCCCAGAGCTGCAAAAAAAGCTTCCTCCTGCACCTGATCAGCTGGTCTCCGCTCTGCTGCGGGGAAAGTGGGCGTGGCCAAGAGCACTGGCAGATGTCAGAGAGCAGCCGGAGGCAGAGAGATGAAATCATGACATGCTGTGCTCTTTTACATCCTTGAAACATTGTTTAAAATATTGAAAGAGTGTGGTAAGGGTTTACAATGCCTTTATATATATATATATATATATATATATATATATATATATATATATATATATATATATATATATATATATATATACTCAAATAAACTACTACTTACCACTTGAACCATTCCTACTTGGCAGTTTTTCACTTATCGCGGGGCTTCAGGGTATTCAGGGCTACTGTATATTTTTTTGAATGAATTTCCAGTCTGGGTTGCGGGTCGGGTGCACAGCGGACGTCGGACCAGGCAGCGACTAAAACTGGTTTTATCGTCTTTTTGTTTCCAGAGCCAAGACCATCAAGAACACGGTGTCTGTGAACCTGGAGCTGACGGCTGAGGAGTGGAAGAAGAAATATGAGAAGAAGAAAGAGAAGAACAAGAGCCTGAAAACCATCATCCAGAAGCTGGAGGCTGAGCTGAACCGCTGGAGGAACGGTGGGAGCTAATGGGGTTTCGGCTCCTTTATCTGACAGAGCTGTGCTCTTCTAAAAGCTGTTTTGTTTCAGGGGAAAATGTTCCTGAGGAGGAACAGCTGAGCTCCAAAGATCAGACGAGCGTCGAGCAGAACGACAACACTCCCGTCATCGACAACCTGCTCCCGTCTGCAGGAGGTGTGTCCAACGAGGAGAGGAGAAAATACGAGGAGGACACCAGTAACTTGTACAAACAGCTGGACGATAAGGTGAGACGTTTCCGTTAAACACGCAAGTGTCGCAGGAGCTTGTAATCTCTGCTCCTCTGTGTTTGCAGGATGATGAAATCAACCAGCAGAGTCAGCTCGCCGAGAAGCTCAAGGAGCAGATGATGGACCAGGAGGAGGTTAAACTTTGCGTTAAAGTAACCGTCCGTGTTTTTCCTCTCCGAACGAGTTTCTCACGGGCTTGCTCTCGTCTCGGCAGCTGCTAGCGTCCACGCGGCGGGACCACGAGAAGATCCAGGAGGAGCTGTGCCGGCTGCAGATGGAGAATGAGCTGGCCAAGGAGGAGGTGAAGGAGGTGCTGCAGGCGCTGGAGGAGCTGGCTGTCAACTACGACCAGAAGAGCCAGGAGGTGGAGGAGCGGGAGCAGGTCAACCAGCAGCTGACTGAGGAGCTGCAGCACAAAACGGTGGGTGACCAACAAAGGTTCGAGGACTACACTTCCCATCATGCAACATAGTAATCTTCATTATGAAGGACAGTTTGTGCCTTTAACGCCAATATGTCGATAAATGAGAGTTGTTTTGGTCAAACCTTGAACGTAACATCATGTTTGATCTTGTGCTTAGATGATAAAATGTAAACGACTCTCAGCTACTACCACACCGAGTTTTAGCTCAAAACTTTAAAAATTGACTGAATTATTGCCACTTGTGTGCTCTAAAAACCTCTTCTGTGCGGTTTATGGATAGGCGCTGCTGTCGGTGGTGCAGCAGGAGCTGACCCAGCTGCAGGAGCTGAACGGTCTGCAGAGGAAACGAGCCACCGAGGTCCTCAACCTGCTGCTGCGAGACCTCAACGACGTCGGCGCCATCATCACCAGCAGCGACATCAAGACGACTGTGGTGAGCACCGGGCAGACAGATGTTTTATTCACCTCTTTCTGAGCACCAGACACTTGGTCAAAACCCAGACGAAGCTCAGATTAACTAGAGAAATTGCATTTCCTGCGAAAATGCAGTGTGAATGGGTATTGCAGAATAATTTGCTGAAAGACAGTTGAAATTAGCTAAAATCATACTGAAATGTAGCTGAAATGGAAGAAGCCTGGGTTAGCATAAGAAAGCAGAAAGAACACGTTTGCTGAATTATGTTTAAAAGCAGAAGCAGAAATAAAAACAAAACGTGAAAATTATCTGAAAAGAGCTGAAATTAGTTTAAAAAAACTGTTGAAGTAGCTAAAAAAGCAGAAAGAAGCTTAAATTACCAGTTGGAAGTGGAAAGAGCACATTTTTGCTGAATTAGGCTGAAAAAAGTTGAAATGATGGCAAAAAATGTAAAATTAGCCAAAAATGCCAAATTAGCATAAAAACAGCTAAAAAGTAGCTGAAATAGTAGAAAAAGCTGAAACTTGCAGAAATAAGCTGAAAGAAGCATAACAAGCTGAAATTAGCAGAAAGAAGTTAACTAAGCTGGAAGTAGCAGAAATTACCACAAAAATTTGAATTTATCTGAAAACGGCAGAAATTAGTGAAAAAAGCAAACTGTTGACAAGTAGCTTAAAAGGGAGAAAGAAGCTTAAATTACCCGTTGGAAGTGGAGAGAGCACATTTTTGCTGAATTAGGCTGAAAATGTTGAAATGAGTGCAAAAAATGTGGAAATAACTGAAAAAGGTAAATTAGCATAAAACAGCTAAATAGTAGCTGAAAAAATGAAACTAGCAGAAATATCTGAAAGGAGCATAACAAGCTGAATTTTGCAGAAAGACGTTATTAGGCTGGAAGTAGCAGAAATTACTACAAAAACTTGAATTTATTTGAAAACTGCTGAAATTAGCTTAAATAAAGGTAGCTGAAAAGGAAGAACAAGCTTAAATTAGCAGAAGAAAGCAGAAAGAACACATTTGCTGAATTAGACACAAAGAAGGAGAAATGAGCAAAAAGAATTATCTGAAAAAGCTGAAATTAGAAAAAAAGCTGAAAAGTAGCTAAAAACGCAGAAGGAAGTGGAGAGAGCACATTTTTGCTGAATTAGACTGACAGAAGTTGTAATGAGTGCAAAAATGTGCAATTAGCCAAAAATGCTAAAATTAGCATAAAAACCACTAAATAGTAGCTGAAATAGTTAAAAAAAAAAAGCTGAAACTTGCAGAATTAAACTGAAAGGAGCATAACAAGCTGAAATTATCAGAAAGAAGTTAACTAGGTTGGAAGTAGCGGAAATGACCATTTAACATCAGATAACTAACTTCAGATAAATTAACATTTATCTGAAAACTGCTGAAATTACCGGTAGCTAAAATGATATAAAGGTAGCTGAAAAGGTAGAACAAACTTTAATTAGCAGAAGAAAGCAGAAAGAAAGAAGCAGAAATGAGAGCAAAGAGGTGGATATTATCTGAAAAAAGGTGAAGAGAAAAAAAACTGCTGAAAAGTAGCTAAAAATGCAGTATGAAGCTGAAATTACAAGGTGGTGAAGAGAGCACATATTTGCTGAATTAGGCTGAAAAAAGTTGAAATGAGTGCAAAAAATATGGAATTAGCCAAAAATGCTAAAATTAGCAGAAAAACAGCTAAACGTGTAGTAACTGAAATATTAGAAAAAGCTGAAACTTGCAGAAATAAGCTGAAAGGAGTATAACAAGCTGCAATTGGCAGAAAGAAGTTAGAAGAAGGGGCAGCACGGTGGCGCAACAGATAGAGCTGCTGCCTCTCAGTGAGCAGGTCCCTGGTTCAAACCCTGGTCCAGGGGCCTTTCTGGGTGGAGTTTGCATGTTCTTTCCGTGCATGCATGGGTTTTCTCCGGGTACTCCGGTTTCCTCCCACAGACCAAAAACATGCATGTTAGGCTGATTGGTAACTCTAAATTGTCCCTAGGTGTGAGTGAGAGAGTGAATGATTGTTTGTCTCGTTTTTCTCTATGTGGCCCTGTGATGGACTTGCGACCCGTCCAGGGTGTACCCTGCCCCTCGCACAGTGATTGCTGGACATGGGCACCGGCGACCCCCGTGACCCAAAATGGAATAAGAGGGTAAAGATAATAGATGGACGGATGGATGGAAGTTAGAAGAAGCACAAAAATGTTGTAGTTAGCAGAAAGAATCTGAAAGGAGCACAAAACAGCTGAAAAAACAGCTGAAATCAGCTTAAAGTAGCTGAAATCAGCTTAAAGTAGCTGAAAAATGTTTAAATTTGCACAAGGAAGCTGAAAGAAGCTGAAGCAGAACAAAATGTGAATGGAGCAGTAAAAGGTTGTAAACAGATCTAAAGACTTGAAGGATGGAAAATGAGCTCAATTCATTTTTATGAGGAAAAAAAAAGTGGCTGAAAAGGCTAAATATTTCAAAAAGCTAAAGTTGCACCAATACCAAAAGTCATAGCACCCTTCTCCTGAACGAGCTGAACATTTTGATCTATGATTTGTTGAAATAGCACAAAAATTGTGGAACGAGAAAGATGCTGAAAAACGTACAAAAGAACAAAGGATCACAATGTGAATGCTTCATAAACATTCAGACTTTTAATCCTCATCCTCAGACCTTAGAGATGAAGGGGAACGGCTCGGCCGTGGAGGAGGAGTTCACCGTCGCTCGGCTCTACATCAGCAGGATGAAGTCAGAAGTCAAGTCTCTTGTGAATCGCAGCAAGCAGCTGGAGAGCGCTCAGGCCGACGCCCACAGAAAGATCCAGGCCAATGAGAAGGAGCTGGCTTCCTGTCAGCTGCTCGTCTCCCAGGTAACCATCAAACGTACACATCTGGCACGATTTTACTCTTATTACTAACATCTTTTATGTGCGATGCTAATTCTGAAAAAGTTATTGTGTAAAATGCAAACAAAAAACAGAATGCAGATATTTGCAAATCTTACAAAGCTGCTCAGAGGTTCACCAGTCTGTTAAAAAAAACTGTCTAAAAAGGTAAAACAATTTCACAACATGCATGTTAGGCTGACTGGTAACTCTAAATTGTCCCTAGGTGTGAGTGAGAGAGTGAACGGTCGTTTGTCTCGTTTGTCTCTATGTGTCCCTGTGATGGACTGGAGACCTGTCCAGGGTGTCCCCCGCCCCTCGCACAGTGATTGCCGGACATGGGCACCAGCGACCCCCGTGACCCAAAATAGAAGAAGTGGTTAAAAGATAATTGATGGATGGATGGATGGATAGAATTTCACAGTAATATTCCTCAACAGTAAATTGTAAGGACTTTAAATATCCAATCACCAATAGTTCATCATATCATGAAAAGATTTCAGTAATTTGTAGAAATCTCTGAACTCAAAGGACAAGAATAAAATCAAGCTTGGACTGGACCCCCTCATGATCACTGGGCCCTCAGGGGCCGCTACATTAAAAATCACACCTGATTCTGTTTTGAACATCACTGCATGGACACAGGAACACTTCCACAAATCAATGTCTTGTAAACACAGTTCATCGTATCATCCACAAATACTGCTTAAAGCTCTATCATGCAAAGAAGAAGCCATATGTGAACACCATCCAGAGAAGCTGTCATCTTCTCTGGACCAAAGCTCATTTAAAATGGATGGAGGCAACGTGGAAAACTTCTCTAGTTATTAAATTAATCCAAATTTGAAAATCTTTTTGAACACCACGTCCTCAGAACTTAAGTGTAGAGGGACCATCCGGCCTGTTATCAACACTCAGTTCAAAAGTTTGCCTCTCTGATGGTATGGGGGTGCATTATTGCCTCTGGCATGAGCAGGTTACACATCTGATTAGGTACCATCACTGCATATGATCCCATCTAGACGTCTGTTTAAGGGAAGGCCTTGCATATTTTCACAAGGCAATGCTAAACCACACAGTGCATCATTACAACAGCATGGCTTTGGAGTAGAAACGCTCTGATGCTGAACTGACCTGCCTGCAGTCCACACCTCTCAACAATAAAAAACATATATCAGACCACACTGTTGGTTGGTTCTCTAATTATCTCTCTGATTGGAGGCAATGCGTTCAACATAATGGTACTTCTTCCACCTATCTAACTGTTAACAATGGTGTACCACAAGGTTCAGTCTTAGGACCCACCTTCTTCACAATCTACATATGTAATGTAGGTCAGATCATTCCTGATGCATCCTTACATTTCTATGCCAACGACACAGTTGTTTATTGTCGAGCTAAAAGTTGCTAAGGTTTTACAGCTTTTACAGTCTGCATTCGACATCATCCAGTCAGATTTGTTCAGTCTCAAACTGGTGCTAAATGCTGACAAAACCAAAGGGATGTTGTTTTCAAACAGGAAGTCGGTTCCAGCAGTCCTTCTTTCTATCTTATCTATGAACGGTGTTCCTATTGAGTTTGTCGATTCTTACAAATTCTTGGGTATCTTGGTCGATGAACATCTCTCTTTTAAGCCCCATGTCGAAAACCTGGTAAATAAATTGAAATGAAAACAGTTTATTTTTTAGAAATAGATCCTGTCTAACTCTGAATGCTAGGAAACACCGTGTACCTGCTACTTTCCTTCCCTTCATTGACTATGGTGACATTATTTACATGAACGCTCCTACAAGTACCTTGCAGATGTTGGACGCGATCTATCACGGTGTGCTAATATTCATAACTGGCTGTAACTACCAGTACCTTACCCACCATTGCACTCTGTATTAGAGCTGTCATTTCTAACCCAAACCCGGAGCCTGGCTCCGCCCAACTCGGATTCGGACCAGGCCGGACCATAATAATGTGCTTAATGTGCGGGCCGAGTTGTTGTCGGGCTTTTTATTGCGTCAGGGACGTGCAGCCAACGATCCAATTATATGCCAACATGGCTTGCCATACAATCACCTGCTGCATGCGGCAATTTGACTGCGCGCTGCTTGAAAGAGGTAAAAAGTTCAGTAAGCTTCAGATGGACTACTGCCAGCCATCCATCAGCCCAAATGGACTTTCATTCAGCCACTGCACTCAGCGGATGCGCTCGGCTGAAGACCCAAGCAGGTGAGATAAAAAAATATCCAACATGTCAGAGTAGGATGCAGGCAGAAGCAGGGGAAGCATTTAATGCGCTTTGATGGCTCCTCAGCTCCGATCTTCTGCCGTCTTTATTCAACTACGCACATCCGCCGACTGTTAATAATAGTCTGTGGTATAAGCAGTCAAAGCTTAATTAAAAATGTTTGGGTTTTCTTTGGGTTCGGACCTGTAATTACTGTTAATTCGTCGGATCGGATGTGGTACGGAGCTGATGGCTGCGGCTAGGGCTGGGTCGATTCGGATTATTTGGACTCGAGTGCAACGCTACTCTGTATTCACTGGTTACCTGGACATCATTAACTTCACGCAAACTCTTTCACTGGTACATTTTCATCTTTAAATCACTTCTTGGTCTGCTGCCTTCATCCATCTCCTCCTACATGTCACTTTGTGAGTGCAGCTACAGTGTGCGCTCTCAGGACATTATTACCTGCAGCGTTCTCTCAGTGAGGACTGAACTAGACCATAGGGTCTTCTCCTACTCTGCTCCTGTTTCCTGGAATATCTTACAAAAAGATCTGAAGCTCTCAACCTTGACCTCTCGAAGTGGCTTCAAACATCTAAGTTCATGGGAAAAACCAATGCAGACATGTTCCTGTTTTTAGTTTTCTACATCGCTTTACATTGTAGCTGTTTTTGTTTAGTGTTTTAAATCATTTCTTCCATTTACTTTTCATTTTATTTGAAGCACCAGGTGAAGATCAAGTCTCTGACCGACTACATGCAGAACATGGAGCAGAAGAAGAGGCAGCTGGAGGAGAGTCAGGACGCTTTGAGCGAAGAGCTCGCCAAGCTGCAGGCTCATGGTCGGTTCACGAAACAATCGCTCCCTGTGCAGATGAAGGTTTTCTGTTTGGTGCATTTAAAAGGATGAAACATTTCATAAGAGTCATTTCTCCTCAGATAAAAGGCACGAGGTGTCAGAGGAGAACGTCAACAGGCCAGATGGAGACGAGGACGTGAAGGTGAAGCAAACCGCCGAGCTCAAACGATGCAAGCCTGAAGCGAGGTTGTGTGTCTGACGTGTGTTTCTGTGCGCAGCTGCAGAAAACGCTGGAGGAGCAGCTGGAGAGCCACAGGGAGGCGCAGCAGAAGCAGCTTAGCCGCCTGCGGGAGGAGATCGAAGACAAGCAGAGGATGCTGGATGAGCTCACAGAGTGAGGAGATGTTCCTGAACACACAGAGAAACCAACAAAACCCGCACCTGCTCGGTTTTACACAAGTTACACAAGTTTACACCCGTTCAACGTGGATGTACATGTGGATTAATTTAGACTTGAACTAAACTGTGGAATGAGTCTACAACAAACAACTTCAGGGGTTTTTAAGAACAGGTTAAAATTTCTAGGGCATTTACAAATTATACTTACAGGCTCAAATATATCTTTAACCCAACTGTGTTCAAGTTTCAACCCTCCAGCTGCTGATTTGAGTTGAAGTGAAATATTTGGAGGTAGTCCACATCTTCATCATTCCATCAGCTTAGCTCCAGAGCATGATGCTACCACCACCATGCTTGTCAGATGGTCCCTTCTGGATGTTTTTGAACCAGCCAGTGTGCGTTCTCAGATGATCAGAGGAAACGGTTTCTGTCTCAGTCTGAACCAGGGTCTGATTCTGGAGCAGCAGAGACTCGCGTCTGACCATGAAAAGCTGAAGGCCGAGGAGCAGCAGAAGGACGCAAAGCTTCAGAAACTCATGTAGGAGCTTTGAAATATTTTCCTCATTAGTTTTGTTTTATTAGCGATATAATAGAGGCTGAGGAGCTCTGCATGCTTCACCTTTTTTTTTTTTTGTCTGCAGATTGCTGAATGAACAAAGAGACCAGGCCAGAGAGGACCTGAAGGGTCTGGAGGAGACTGTGGTGGGTCTTAAAGGTTCTCTGCAGGACTTCTAACAGCACCATGGTTCAGTTGTTTTAGAAGCATCTGGTTGGGTTTACCTCCAACTGAAAAGGGAATATATATATATATATATATATATATATATATATATATATATATATA